TTTAAGAGGGGTGGGCTTCAACCCCCAGAATCCCCCCAGTTTGCATGTTTTAAGAGGGGTGGGCTTCCACTCCCAGAATCCCCCAGTTTGCATGCTTTAAGAGGGGTGGGCTTCCACTCCCAGAATCCCCAAAACTTTTGTTGCCAAGTGAAACATGGAGTCCGTTTTTACACCCCGTTTCATGACCTTTCGTTGCCACGGTTGTTAAGTGAACCTTTGTCATTAAGCAAATCTGGCTTCCCCCACAGACCTTGAAGCTCGCAAAAAGGGGATCGCGTGACCACCGCCGTCATAAGTACAAGCCCGTTACCAAGCGTCCGAAATTCTGATCGCGCGACTGTGAGCATCGTAAGTGTGAAAAAAACGGCCGTTAAGTTGCTTTTTTTCACAGCGCCGTTGTAACTTTGAACAGTCGCTAAACGAACCGTCGCAAGTCGAGGACCGCCTGTGTGAATTCCAGCCATGTCTAGAAAACGAATCCTCTTCATTTCCTCCCGATTGCCAATTCTAGCATTTCCCAATTCCAGACAGGCGGCGTTGAGAAATCCGGGCGGTTCCTCATTTTTAATTCCCCGTCTTTTAATTTTCAGGGCGTGATTGTTTTATTGCTGCTTTATTTGTCTTTAATATCCCTGTGGGGAGGGATGTCTGTTTATTTAAACAGTAGCAGAGTTGGAAGGGACCTTGGAGGTCACCTAGTCCAACCCCCTGCTTACGCAGGAGACAGTGCACTAGCGGGATTCGAACCGCCGAATTGCCGACCTTTCTGATCGACAAGCTCAGTGTCTTAGCCGCCGAGCCACCTAGTCAGGCAATTTTAAGCGGAAAAGGGGATTTTCGCTGCCTGTTTCTAAAGCGAGTGGCTTCCTGCAAATGGGTGCACGATGGATGAATTGTAAAATAAAAGAATAAAATAAAAGAATAAAATGAAATAATAAAATAAAATAATAAAATAAAATAAAAAATAAAAAATAAAAGAATAAAATGAAATAATAAAATAAATAAAATAAATAAAATAAATAATATAAATAAAATAAATAAAATAAATAAAATAAATAAAATAAATAAAATAAATAAAATAAATAAAATAAATAAAATAAATAAAATAAATAAAATNGAATAGAAATTAGAATAGAGAATAAAATAGAAAATAGAAGAGAAGAGAAATTAGAAGAGAAGAGAAAAGAAAACAGAATAGAATAGAATTGAATAGAGAAGAGAATAGAAATTAGAATAGAGAATAGAGAATAGAATAGAAAAGAGAAGAGAAGAGAAGAGAAATTAGAAGAGAAAAGAAAACAGAATAGAATAGAGAATAGAATAGAAAACAGAATAGAATAGAATAGAATAGAATGGGATCTTGGAGGTCTTCTAGTCCAGCCCCCTCCTTCATAACTGTCACTGCAGTGGTGAAGTCAGTAGCACCGTTGTTAAGTGAATCCGGTCCAAAGGTCGCAAAAGGGGATCGCGCCACCCCGGGGACGCTGCGGACCGTCATAAATACGAAATCACTTGACACATATCCCAATTCCGATCACGCGGCCACCGGTGATGCCGCAACGGTCGTAAGTGCGGGGAGGAAAAACAGTCCTGAAAAGTCCCTTTTTCTCGGTGATGCTGTCACTTCAGTCACTAAACAGGCAGGAGTTTTACGCCAAGGCCGTAACCTGGGTTATTGTTAACTACAGTTCATTGAAAGGTAGCCCGAACGTTCAGACTTTAATTGAGCATTTAATTGAACCTTTCCCCCTCCCCAAAATCCAGAGCCTGGGAAAGTGGGGGGCTTGGACGCACCCCAAAGAATTCACACACACCCCCAAGGCAGAGGAGGAACCGGATAATGTAGGAGGGTGGGCACACACCCCGTTGCGATACGGGAGTTGCTCCCTTCTTTACATAACTCCGGTCAAGCCTGTTCGTCTAGCTCCCTCCCGAGACACGAGTTACGGCCTGCCATAAAAAAAAAAAAACACGGGGTGTTTTGATTCCCTATGGATTTCCCAGAGTGGGAGTTTTCCTCGGTTTTCCCCGCCTGTGAAATGGATACATCCGTTCGCCAACGAAAGAAACGTAGTCTTTTTCCCCGTGCTTTGCGGTGGTCTTGGAAGAACAGAAGGGGATATAGTAATTATTTAGCCCAGTGGGTGCAAAACCTGGGCCACTTTAGGAGGGGTGGGCTTCCACTCCCAGAATGCNCAAGCTGAAAGGGGATAAAACCTCCCGGTGCAGAGGCAGTCTACCTTGCTTGCCACCCACAAGCCCAGCTTCTGCCTCTGAGCCAGTGCAGAGGGCCTTTTCCAAACCTAACATCGGTTCTCCCCCCCCTCCCGCCCCCGTCTCTTAATTCCTGCCTTTCCCAATTGAGAAAATCGATAGACCGAAAACGAACGGAACTATAGGATTTATTGATTTATTTTTGCTTTTTATTTCGATTATGATACAGAAAAGAGGCAAAATGAGGCAACAACGGCGGAGGCAGAATTTGGGAGGAGCTGGCTATCCTGCCAGGTGAGGCCGGGCAGGACTGATTGATTGATTGATTGATCGATCGATCGATCGATCGGGGATGATGGTTGTGAGTTTGCAGTCTGAGATTCTCACTGGTCCCGTGGGCTGGCTTTGAAATGGGTTGGGTTTGCAGCTGGATCACATCTGCAGAAAGGGCCCTGCAACAACTCCCAACAAACTTTTCTGGCTCGCCTGGAGTCCCCCCTGCCTCAAATCCTACAATTAACCAGCCCGATGGGTTCAGAACAACAGAGGTGGAAGGGACCTTGGAGGTCTTCTAGTCCAACCCCCCCGGCTCAAGCACGAGACCATTTGGGACCAATGGCTGTCCAGTCTCTTTTTAAAACCTCCATCGATGGGGGCCACCCACAGCTTCTAGTGGCAAGCCGTTCCTCTGATTAATTGTTCTCACGGTCAGGAAATTTCTCCCTAATTCCACGTTGCTTCTCTCTTTGTTTAGTTTCCATCCGTTGCTTCTAGTTCTACCCTCAGGTGCTTTGAAGAATAGGTTAACACCTCCCCTTTTGGGGGGGCAGCCCCTCAAATATTGGAAGGCTGCTATCATGTCACCCCCCCCCTAAGAATTGGTGGGTTGTGTTTATCAAAGTTGGGAAATCCAGTGTTTCAACAGCGGGAATGCAGAAGCCCTGAGTATATTTCAAAATATTCTCCACTGGGATCTGAAGGAAGGATATTTGCCCTTCTGGCCAGCCCCTCTTAACAGGATGACAGAGTTGGAAGGGACCCTAGAGGTCTTCTAGTCCAACCCCCGACACGAGCAGGAAACCAAAAGAGAATCCAGAAATAACTGGCTTGACACCAGGGATGTGGCTATGTTGGGGACAGGCATATATCAGGGACTCAGGGAGAGGCGATCACATCAGGGGAGTGGGCTAGATGATCTTTGTGAGACTCCCCCCCCCCCGACTTTCCAATTCTGCGGCTCTGGATTTCTCCCCACTGTCGGTATAAAGATACCCCACTTCCCAAGAGTTAGTTTATTAGTTTATTAGTTTATTAGAGGTACATAAAGCAGGATTTCTATTTTTAAGATGCTTCTATGGATGAGTTTTTTTTTTCTTTTAACTCTTTTTTGTGTCAAAATTCTGTTGTTGTTTTTTAATCCACTCGCCTTATTTTGAGTGGGTGGGCTTTTTCTGCGACTTCTTACTTTCACAGAAAGGGGAGGAAATAGATGTTTAAGAACACGCAGCGAACAAAGAATCCAACCACCGAAATCTTGAGTTTTAAATTCAGATTTATCACATTCCTGTTTTGGCAGCGATATATAAAATTCTATGTGCAACTTCTTATACAGACATGTATAGATATATAGAGATATATATACTTTATATATATATATATTTAACAGAATGTCTAAGGCATTTTTGAGGTACACATTTGAAAAGGTTTTGGGGGGGGGGGTTTCCAAACGAAATTCTCATTTTTTTAAAAAAAAAAATGTGGAGAATTGGAGCTTTAAACTGTCCCAGGATGAAATGCTGCCAACATCAGAGATAAAAATTAAGAATATCTATTGGATCTTTTGCGATTTTTTTTCAGAGCTCAGCTTAAAAAAAAAAAAAGTTTCAAACTGTAGGAAGATTTTCTAAAGTTTGGCTTCACGAGCTCTGAAAATTTAAAATTTGAGAAGACTTTAATTTTTTTTTCCTCCCCCCCTGCATGAAATTTCTGTCTTCTGGCTCCGGGGAGGTTGAAAAATTTCTTGATATCAAGAACAAGAACCACCTAGGTTAGGAAAATCGAGTGGATCGAATGAAACCCCCCCCCCCCCCCCCCCCCCCC